CTACTCATATATACTGTTAAACCCATATTTCATTTTACACAAAGAGGCTTTACAATAAAACCAACATTCAATAACATTTTATTTAATCCCCTTGCGTTGTCGACTGCTACACAAAACTCCCATGTTTGGGAGTTAAAATACACATAAATCTATACATTTACTTCGAACAAATTATTTCAAAAGACCTGTATTTACCTGTAATTTACCTATACCACTGCTAGATTTTCATGCTAAATTTAGTTGCCATTGTACACGTCAACTGATTAATTATACATGTTTCTACTAGTTCTTCAAGTTTTTAAAACAAATAATTGATTTCATGCCAAATACATATTTTTCCCACTTTGAAATTAAACCGACTGGCTTACAAATTAAATGGATTTCGTATAGAATGCTATCAAGACTTGTATTTTGTCAGAGTTATTTGACCAGAACTAAGTTTGATCAAGGCATTGAACTCCCTACAATGACTTAGTTTGATGTTACCAGGGCAACATCGGCTGAATGCCTTGACGCAATTCAAATTTAGACATAAAATCATGCGCAAAAGAGGGAATTTTTGGACTAGGTGACGGCCCCACTTGACAGCCAGCAGTCTACCTGGGTTTTAATATTTCCAGCTATCAGTGTTTGTATTATATCAAGGTTTCTGGCAGATTAAACTAAAACCAGCTATTTATAGGCTTTTTCAACTTATATAAAAGCAGATTCGTGTGTCGGGATTTGGAAGGTACTTTAATTGTGATCGATAAAAAAGGACACACATATTAATTGCGAACAGTTCTCAGTCGTCATATTTCTTATGAAATAAAACTCCAAAGTGCCCATTTAAAAAAAATAAAAATAGTGAATTATTAACAATGAGAATTGACACAAGGTAACGTAGTAATATTATATTAAGTCGAGATATTAGGCCCTATAACTTTACTTAGTACTTACAGAGTTTATACACACATAAAATCCAGCTCTAACCCTAAATATTTTAAAGCAAGCTAGAAATCTTGTATATTTGTCTAGTCCAGGACTGAGTATGCAGAAACAATATTTAATTTACGACCCCATACAATTTGTGGTTGTTATGGTGACCGTGATAACATACACACAATTCTACCTGAACATTCTTCTATACCTATAGGTCTTATCTGGGTAAAGAAGGAGACTTTTATACTGTAGTTTAGCACCACAAATATCCTGTCTTCGATATCCATACATATACAAGGAGATTGGTTAATACTTCAGCCACCATAATTTCCAAACTTAAATATTTCATAAATATTTCATTTTCAATACTAATCACATTCATATTGATTTTTCCAAGTCAGTGATCAATCTGGAATCAATATTATCAACATCTCGTTTCTCCTCCCACATCCCATAATTCATAGTATTTGTTCATTAATGCAGCAATTATTTTAATGCATAATTATCACTACTCACAAATTAATATGATGCTGCCCCTGTGTCAGTGATTTGCAAAAATAAAAATCTTCTTCTGTGATTTGCATTTATAAGAATTATTTCTTTTTATTGAAAAGAGACCTAAAATGATAACTGTTTTGACTTATGGTATTTATAAAATATATGGGTTGTGGTCCATTTTATGGAGTTTCATCATCTTATATTTACAGGGTATTTTCATTTATGTAGAACATTGGACAAGTTCCCTGCTACTACATGCTTAAGAGGATTCATGGATTAGAATCCCCATAGGGATGATTATTTTGTGAAAAGGGAATTTATAATGACTATATTTCTTTCATATATATATAGATCTTTGCTATATTAAAAGGGTAAGCAACACTAACCTGAATTATCAGCCTTACTTTTCACAAGCTTCTTAGTAAAGAAGCTGTTTGAGGACTTTAACAAATTTGATTCCTGTAACCCTGAATATGGGTCAAGGTTAAATATTTTCACAAATTTGTAGCAGACTGTATGACAGCAAGCCATGTAATTAATCTAGGCCTTTTGGTTCTTCACAAGACTTTTTATTAAGTTATTTGACCCCTGGTGTAACTTAAAATACACCAGATCAAACTCATTACTTTTTCCAAACTTTCTAGCACTTATTGCCACAAGTTTCTGCCCATACATCATTTTTATCATAGGCCTTCGGTTTTTCAGAAAAAATATATTCTGTTAACATATTTGACCACTGTGACCTTGAACATAGGTCAAGTTAATTTTCTTTTCCAAAATTCTGCAGCACGCATTCCTAGCAAGCTTCTGGCCAAATATTTGAAGTTCAACTATATAATTTTCATAATATAAAGTGAATTTAGGTGGTGTGGTGGGGTTGAGGGTGGGGTGTGTTGGTGGGAGAGAGGTGGGGGTTGGGTGGGGTTGGGGGTGGGGTGTGTTGGTGGGAGAGGGGGGGGGGTGGGGGGGGGGGGGTGTTGGGGGGGGGAGGGGGGGGGGTGGGGGGGGGGGGGTGTTGGGGGGGGGAGGGGGGGGGGTGGGGGGGGGGGGGGGGGTGGGGGGGGGGGGGTGTTGGGGGGGGGAGGGGGGGGGGTGGGGGGGGGGGGGTGTTGGGGGGGGGAGGGGGGGGGGTGGGGGGGGGGGGGGGGTGGGGGGGGGGGGGTGTTGGGGGGGGGAGGGGGGGGGGTGGGGGGGGGGGGGGGGTGGGGGGGGGGGGGGGGTGGGGGGGGGGGGGGGGGTGGGGGGGGGTGGGGGGTGGTGTGTGTTGGTGGGAGAGAGGTGGGGGTTGGGTGGGGTTGGGGGTGGGGTGTGTGGGCGGGAGATAGGTTGGGGTTGGGTGGGGCTGGGGGTGGGGTGTGTTGGTGGGAGAGAGGTTGGGGTTGGGTGGGGCTGGGGGGGGGGGGTGTTGGGGGGGGGAGGGGGGGGGGTGGGGGGGGGTGGGGGGTGGTGTGTGTTGGTGGGAGAGAGGTGGGGGTTGGGTGGGGTTGGGGGTGGGGTGTGTTGGTGGGAGAGAGGTTGGGGTTGGGTGGGGCTGGGGGTGGGGTGTGTTGGTGGGAGAGAGGTGGGGGTTGGGTGAGCTAAGGGTCATGAACAAGTAAAAACACTATATGATTTGTAGCAGGTAAAGTTTTTCAATGAAAGACCTGCTGGGACAACAACAGACTTGACTCACCACACAAAACATCCAGTACACAAAATACTACATGATTTGTCTACAAACTGCATGGCAACCAATAATACTTCAATTCATCATAGATGTCAATATCAATTAAAATATACATATATGCAAGTCCAAGCTAAATTGACGTAGTCGACTTCAAATCTATAGCTGGGAGCCTGATCTATACAAAGTACAGAGAGAAAATTTGTCAATGAATATCTCCATTTTGACAGTAAAAGCGAGATCTTTTGAATAATACTACTGTAAACAAATGGACCGCATTCTCATTGATTCCGAAATCAATCCAGCTCGTTGTCAGCTGACTGGACAAGAATCAATTTCCTAGGGGATTGTGTCATTAAAATGCCACTGGTTGCCACAGTGATATGAGATTTTGCCCCGAGATGAATCTTTCCGCGAGAATTAAGTTCCTAGTCCATGTACTGATTAACATGAAAAATTAAACATAAATTTATTTACTTTCAAACAATGTAATAAATGTCGGGAGGCGTGAAAAACAATAAATTCCGCTATAGCGTGTGTATTGTATTTCAGTTAACAATGTCTGGAATAGTAATGAGATTATTGTAACATTTTATCTAACTGCTGTGTACACAGGTATACAGTGGAAAAAAAAGGTGAATTGCAATTTTAATTTCCTTAATGAAAAACAGTTCTGAAGATAAGGTTAATAAATTTCTATGAGCTGTCAGTATAGGTGGCTAAATCTGACAGATGACCTTGATGAACCCCAAAATAATAAATTCTAATTTTCGCACTTAGAATTTTGATCTATAAAATCTGAAATTTGTACATGTAAATTAACAACTATTCCCCATCAATTAAGTCCTTAGAAAAGCACTGTATTATGTAAAATTCTCTTTTGGGAATTGTTACACTGACAGAAGTTATGAAACTTTGAACTTTATCACGAAACGAACAGTATTAATCTATTGTCAGAACATAAATACATACAAGTGTCAATCAAAATGTGACCCTAACACAAAGTTTCCAGGTGACCCTCGGTACTTGCCCCACAATGGCTTTTCTATCGGTAATAAGATGGACTGAACGTAAACGACACTGAACAAAGACCACAAGTGTTGGCCACCTGATCATGTCAGAGGACAGTGACACAACCATTTATATATTATTTAGTTATTTCAATAATTTTTTGGGATGACAAATACAAGTTCTGTAAATTTATTAAATAATTTACAATTTGTGAGAATTGTTTTGCATAAATTTGCAAGGAGATTAGACTGCAAAATAGACAAATTTGAAGGAAATATACACACCTAGTTCAGTGGTTTGAAGCAGGATTGTAGAAATAATTATTTGCGAAAAATGAAGTGAATCACATTAAATAAGGATTTTGGTTTTTAAAATCAGGCGAAAAACTTGAGAATGCGGAAGACTTCAGACAACCTTTGTCTGGTGACAAGTCTTATTACAGCTCTTCATGAGACAATGTCAAATGTGCGAAGGTGAACAGAAAATACATCCCCCTCACCACCTTTCCCAGGTATCTACAGGAATAAAGCAACGTTAATCACTTCCGTCAACTTATCCAATCCACACTCATGATTAAAACTTGTGCATCAAAACATCCTGTCAGAATTGAATTTTGCAAGTTCAATTAGTTCTATAAGACATTAGAAATTATTCTAATTAAGTCTGACATCCTCGAGACCTAATCTCTTGGCGATTTTTTTACATTTTGGAAACTGAGCCAGGCTGATTTCAAATTCACATTTCAATTATCATGGAAGTTATTTGAGAGTATTAGAGAAATTTTATCTATATCGAAACAAGTCAGTTTCAGATAATTTAGTTCTACAAGTGTCAGATAGGACAGGTTCATCGGTAAGGAGAGGTTCAGCTGCACAAAATATAATTTCTGTTCAAACATATATCTTACCTTCTTCGCTCTGTTTGCCGGCCTTGCTAACGTGCGTGTTGACATAGTTGACGTAGATTCCAGCCTTTCCTGCCAGACTTGTAGTTTGGGTCTGACCTAGCTGTGTGTCGACAAATCCGTTTACCGCTGGATCCAACTGGAAGTTCTTTGGTAGGATTGGCCGGAACTTGTCCTTGCCTATTACCCCTGGACCACCATGCGCTAATATTTTATTAGAAGAGAAATTTTCTGGGTGCACTTGACCGGTGATGGAGTCTGCCGATCGACTCAGTCCATACATCTGAAGCAGTTCATTCATGGTATTTTCTGCATAGTCTTTGAGGGCAGATATTTCAAGATTGTCTTGCTTTGAGGAATTTTTCGGTGTTGTCTTTGGCACTGATGGTTTATCTTTGGACGTTGATAAACGTAAATCTTCAGGCGAATTCCGTCCGGACTCACTTCTCAGCGACACCTCATCGCCATCCATGCTGTACTCAAATTCGGAACTATCACTGTCCATGAAGTCATCCATCTCTGTCCGACCTACAGACAGGTCAAGTGGCACACTAAAACTGGGTGCCATCTGAGGTTTTCTATTCTTTCTAGAGTTCCTGACTTCTGAGGACTTAGCAGTGAGATTAAGTGAACTACAACTATCGTTAATACTGGAGGTAGAGGTAATACTGGTTTCTATAGAAGGAGATCTAACTACACTCAAATTTTCTCCCGTGTCCATATTTTCATTTATGGTTCTTGCATTTTCTTCTTCGTCCATATACTCCTCATCGTTTTCTGGAGGTGGGAATGTTGTGTTTTGGTTGTTTAATTCATACTGTGCTAGTTCATCCTTATCATCTATTCTATCGTACTGTTCAATAAATTTGCGCACTTGTGATATATTGCGTGGGGTCGCTTTCCGACTTTTTCTACGGCTCGCCCCAGACACTTTTTGTTGACTAGATATTGTTGGGGTGGATAAAGCTGAGACTGTCGGCGTGGAGATGGGTGATGGTGTGGGAGTAGGGACAGATGACAATGTTGATGGTTTAATAGATGATGTTCCCGCACTCATTTCATTCCTACACACATTATCTTCTTCCCCATTTTCCAAGAAACTTTTACTACCGTCTTCACCATTTTTTTTGGAAAGTTCTACTCCCTTAGATGTACTTTCGTCAGAATTGCAACTAATGAGATCATGTGACTGTTTATCAGTTGTGTCGTTGTTGTTGTTTTCACATCCAAGCCCTTCTTCTTTATCGCATTCCGAGGATGTAACATTATTTGGTGACGATTCCGAAACACTATTCCTGGTGTTAATGTCATCATTTTCGTATTTCCTTATCGCTAGAGACAGTGCCTGACCTTCAGGATCTCTACAACTCTCAGACGTAGCATCATCCTCTTTGTCATTCACAATTAATGGGTCAGTCTCTTTTTCACTCTCCATTTGCAGTGGAATCGGGCTATTTTCAGGTAATTCACCTCCAGGAATACCCACAACCTCATTTTCACCGGTCTTGGTTGCCAAGGAGAAGTTGATGGGACTCGAATTATCAAAACTTGCCCGAGTCAGAGGCTCAGGACGACAGGGTGTTGAGGAAGAGGGCAGACCAGGGAGGGACAGAGGCAGATCGTTGCTGATAAGTTTTAGTTTGGCACAAATAGCATCCAGCTTGCGAGTTTTCGTTGAGACTACAGAAGCCATGTTTGAGTTCCTTGGACGGCAGCAGTTTAAATGGCTTGACGAAATGAAGTCACATGACGGTCATCTTGTTTACAGGTTCCTCCAGGCAGTATCCCTGTAGCCTGTTATCATCTTCTCCTGAAATTATACAAGACCCATCAGTAAAGTATATTGTAAAACGGTGTTGATATTAAAGTCGTAGTTTTGCCTTTGGCCTTAAACTATATCTTGTGAACATTGTAACAAGTTTTTGCCTATTGCCATTAATTAATTTCTAAACTAGGGCTGTCACAACACATCAGAAAACCTGTTTATTGCAATATCAACTTCATATATTTTACAACAACTATGAAACAAGTTATAAATTTCCCCCAAAAACCCAGTGTGATCGTGCCGGGCAGGTGACACCATACCATTTCACAACAGATCAAACTGCATGCGGCCTTGGTGAAATGTATATATGCATGTTAACCAATGCGCTACCTGACAACCCATTATATTTATATTGGAATACATCTAGGCATATATTGCATTGTATTACAATATAGAAACAAAATATTGCTGAATCTTGGTGTATGTATTTTTCAAAACCTTTTATTCATGTATTCAATTGATTGTCAATTACTTATCATTTACATAAACAGGCTATCACTAGTGGGGGAAACCAGTTAAAATTCATAATCAATGGTTAGTTTAACTAAAAATCTTAAATATGCGTGCATGACCATATGATAAAGTCAGTTTGATATCATTCTAATAAAAATTCTTTTTAAAATGAGTACATGTACCATTTTTCTATAACAATTTATTGTGATATGTAACAAAACGCATCCCTTCTGTATTGCAATATACCGAAATACACTCCAGGCATATTGTGACACCCCTATTTCTGATATTCCCTCAGGTTTGTTATAAATGTGTTCAACAGATGTACAAAAAAAAACACTTTGAACAGGGGGATATATTCTATATTCATAATGGTTTAAATAATCAGAAATAATCCTTGACTAATTAAAATCATAGAATAAAGCAAATTATTGCAGACAGTGTAATAGTTCTGGGAAAATATTCCTCCATTAATAAATCATTGAAACCACCCTTTTAAAGGTTAATAAATGTATTTATAAGATAAGGGATAAGACATGAAAGGGAAATTAGCTATTTTCTTCTGTGACCTCAACCTTCCACTACAATGAGCCTGTAGAAGTCCCTTATCTAGGACACACTATCGGTAACAATAGTATTCACAATCTAACAACGTTTTATAGATTACAATAGCTCATAAAAGTATACCTGGCAACAAAAACATAGAACTTCAGCTTAACTTGTCAAGCCTCATATAAATATACTCATCCCCGTAGATCAAAACACGTTTGTCTAAAAATAATCGGAGGCATTTAATTCAAATACTCTAAATTACACATCAAAATTTGTATTTACATAACAACATACACACAAACTTGCACAACAAATCTCAACAACAATATACCTGACATAGCATGAAAAATATATAAAATATATGTTAATATTCATATTCATGCACATGTATGATTTTCCTACCTCCCTGATCTTCGTTTTCTAATGTTTCGCTGTATACTGGAGTGTACTTTATGTAAATTTTAAAGCTATTACTTATGTGGGAAAATAATTCCAGTATTGGAGAATGTATCAAAAGTGTCAGCTCCTACAGGGTAAAAATGTCAGTGACATTTTATGAATACATCTAGTGAAACAGGGAATGTGTAAAAGGTCATTTTCTCATGAACATGATAAAACCCCCAATATTTCTGTGGAAACTGCTTTAATTTACAAAATCAAAAATGTAAATGTCAATTTTTTTGAAACTGTACAACTTCAGTATATTATAACATCCTGCGCTAAACCGGCCCGTAAGTACACTTTACTGTGGAAACACAGACTATATATATTTGTTTTTAGTTCTCCAATTATTTTCAATGGCCACACTTGAGCTGCCACTTAGCTGTTGACTATACTGACACAAATATCTATAGTGTTTGAAATAACAATTTAAAACTTGAATGGAACTCTATCCATTCATCCGTTAGAAAAGATTACTTTGACAGAATTGGACACATATACTAGCAAGGACACAAAAGCTTGAAATGCCAAAAAAATCTGTGTTTCCATTTTCTCTTAGTTTATACTAGGTTAAGTGCCTGTAGTATAATATTTTTTGACAAATTCTGAACTAACTTGATTAAATTCTAACACAATGTCTCTATAAAACCTTGTTCAACTATTTTGAAAATGGAATTTTTTACCTAACCAAATTTTAATCTTAAATTTTTCTGTCATCCCTTTTTTTTAAACAGAGATGAGAACACTTTTTAAAAACTTGTTAAATGTTTAACCAATAATCTCAAAATCCTGATGAAATAAATCAGAGGGTTTATGTCATTATAATTGGCTGTTGTTGTTTAGACAATATGTTCATGAACAAATTCAGTAAGTGCTTCTTCGACATTACGATCGGTGGTTAGTTTTTATCGTAGTGTGAAAACATGAATGCGACACCACAGCGCTTCCAAGATAATTTTCATGTGCCGATCTTCAAAACTATGCACAAATTCTGCATGGCACATGTCCTTCATGATCGCTGTATTAGCAAAGTTTCATGCTTTGAACTGTATAATCAATTAACATAATCAGTTCTACGGAAAATGATTAATAGAATCTTCCCCTACCTTGAGGGTGTGATAGAGAAATCTCCAACCCGAGGGGTGATGTTTTTTGGTTGTCTAACCCGAGGCTCTGCCAAGGTTAGACAACCAAAAAAATCACCCCGAGTGTTGGAGATTTCTCTGTCACACCCTCGAGGAAGGGATGATTGTTTTTCTCCCATCCTTTTATTTCAGTCACAACTCTGCCGACAGCAGTGTAAACAAAAACACATGTGGGGTATGAAAATTGTCATTCACTTTTGATGACGTCACAATTACCGGTGACGCATTCTAATGACGTCACAATTGAACACGTGCTAATCAGCATGAGGCTATCTCCCCCTAGGGGGTGACAGGCTGATCTTTCCAGGCTAAACCGGGAGACACACCTGTGAAGGGTGGGAGAAAAGTATGTCAATATCCACTAAAACTTTAATCAACTCTATTGGAAAATTTGTAATCTACACTGTTAACTTTATATCAAGGTGCTATTTTGCATGGATCTGTTTAGCAGCAAGGAAAATTGGACAGATGGTCAAAACAGGTTTTTGTTTTTTGTTAAAAAGTCATTTTTGGGCTTTGATAAAGATCTCAGTAGAATATATACATATTTTTAGCTGATAACTGACAATAAATTGGGAATAAGTTTTATTAATTTTTCAATAAGAGTAAATAACACTCTAAAATGTATGTAAACAATCATTTTTGGGCTCTAATCAAGTCCAGGGTGGATTATATATATATTTAGCTAAATGCTATTGATAGATTGGGAGTTAAGTTATGGTGTTTTTTTAAATAAGAATTTAAATATTTGAATAAGATTTTTACTGAATCTTGGAGCAATAGTTTCAATACAAGATTACTATGCCTTGTAAACTGACATTGAATTATATGAATCCAACAGATTGAAAGAGATCTCAAACAGTTCTCACAATAAAATCATTTTATCTGAAATAGCTTTATAAAGACACCAATTGTCATTGTTCCTTTTGATCAATGGATTGTGCTCTCTTGAATGTATTGAGTGAATCATGAGATATTTCTATACCTATACCTGAGTAACAGACCACACTCCTAAGAACCGATAAAATATAGAAAAACATAACTCGCTATTTTCCCTGTTTTTAGTTATTAAGCCTGTAACACCAAGCTTTGAAGAGAATATAGCAAGCTAAACCCCTTCAACGCAAGCTTTGGGACAAAAGAGGGTCGCTTTTCTCACATTCATTGGAAATCAATTCGCTCTTTCGCATTTCATTGAATAATAACTCTGAAAAAGGATTTTCTCGGCAGACATTGATCATAGGAGTTGGGCTATTAAGAGGATTTCATCACCAAAACAGCAAAGTTGCCACTTCATCCTGTGAAAATATTGCCATAAATGTGGAATAGTCATCACCTTAGTTTAGGCTAAAAAAGACTGAAAGTAACATTTGTCAATTGGTTATGAATGAAGTTGATGTTCAATTTATAATTTATTTAAGTTTCATTTTGAAGATTTTCATATTAAATTTTTAGTTATAATTGTCGCCATATAAAACAAAAGAAATGACAAAAATGAAGGAAAAATTGAAACAAAAAACTGAAACTGTTTTAATTAAAATCTAATTTGAAGTATTCGGTACATAGCAATTTATCATCACATGACAAATACACCAGAAAACTCCTAATGGCCAAAATATCAAGGGAACACCTGTCAAGATCATCTCCAGTTATCAACGTTTCGCAAGGTTTTGTGTAATTGAAAAGTAACATCCAGCAAATAACTGACTAAAACTCAAATTCCTGAGTGGAAATTTACAAAAATCATTCTTGATGCTTTTTTTATAAAACGAGAGAAAATAACAATCTCCCTCATATGATCAGGAACTTGTATGAAAATATGCATATTTCTTTAATGTGAAACACAAAATTTGAACATAAAATAGCTTCAAGCTCTGTCAGTTTATCAAATATATACGTAAATGCCAACTAAGACCATAAAATTACTGATGTTCTTTTCACGAATAATACTTCTCGCACGTCAAGACTGTAAACTTCTATGAAATTAATTGAATTATTGTGTGTGGGTTTTCATGGGACTCCTGAGTTAAACGATATCAAATTAAGACAGTGTTCTTTGTTCTGTCAAGACTGGGGATACGGGGAAACATAAATCTCCACCATCAGCTAGCTGTCACAGGCCCCTTCTCTTATTGACAAATGATTAAATTAGGCCACCGAACCTGACCTCAGGGCATATGATATCTCTACATAAAAATAACATTAAACTGCTCATACTTATTAATTCTGATAAACACATCGTTTTGTAATAAAACAGAAGCCACAAAAAGGTTAATGATAAAAATTATAGAGGAAATCAAACTTTTAGGATGACTAGTCTGTATATCGCTACACTAAAAAAATAAAAATGAAACTGCCTTAAATTTGCCAATCTAATTGATCAATTTTAACTCCGTAAACGTATGTGATTCCTCATCTGTTAAACAACAAACAGGAAAAGAATAAATGTAAAAAACAACTGCTTAGAGTCATTTTAATTGAGCTACCAATTCAAATATCAAGCGAATGTAATGAAATGCAACTGGTTATACTTTGGGGACTTTGACGTTTTTCCACCCTGATATATCATTAAGATAATGTTGATGATTCTTCGTTTCCTTGATTCTACCAGCAAAGCAAATACTCTGCTTTAATTCATTCACCCCTGAAATTTCATAATGAACTATTCCAACATTTGAATTGGAAGAGTTTAAATGTGTCTTCAGAGGTGATGAGTTAATCTGTCAAATCTCAACCTGATACCCACATCTTTACTTAAATGTATCCCCACCCTTCTTGATAAGATTTGTACTGATCCAGCAATAAGCCCATGTCTGCTAATGAGCCCCACCCTATCTAATGCAACTCAGTAGAAAATACCAACAAACACTATTTAATTGTCCGATAATTAGCCTATATGCAACCTCCCTGTTAGAGACAGAAATTATTCCTTTACCCCTTCACAGCTTATTGGACAATACACTCATACAGTAATTATAAAAAACCGAACACAATGAAAATGGTGTGCAGCTGATTTGAGGTACTATTTGTGATAACTGACATATATGTTTCTTGTTGTAAAATATTACAACAGAGTGTAGAAGACAATCAACAAGCTTGGGATAAGTCAAGTTTTATTTATTAGGAAACATCTACAGGTTTCGCCTGAACAATGGGCTTCTTGCGAACTTTTCCTGAGCTTGTTTTGATTGACTTCTATACTTTGTTTCCCCTATTCCTCAATCGCCCTGCATACTGGTTGGTATCCAAGCAAGGGATAAACGGAACCAACTGAACCTAAATTACAACAGATCTATAACCAACATTGTACACATTATGAAGACTGACTTAATTGTTTTGATATGCTTCAAATCCCATCTTGACAGCATGTACTGTAAAGCAACCAACATCGACATATATGGCTTCACACATGTCTACTTTCAAATCAAAGGATTCAATGATTTTACCTTGCCATGATGTATATAGTCAATATATACTGTACAATCACAACCTTACATGATATGGGGTGAACATGGAGACCATTATGTTACAAAAAAGTACCAAACGGTTGACAACATTAGACACTTCAATACTTAAAACCAAGGCAAAGTCTACCAATCTGACACTTCAACTCGAGTCAATAAATGAAGGTTTCAAAACAGCTTCACCAACTTTTTATAGCCAACATAATGCCCATACATTCTGAACCGTATACAGTGATAGCTATATAGACAGTGGTAGGTTCTAAATTCTCTCTCACTCACTCTCTTCGTTCTTCTCCTACTCTCTTTCGTTCTTCTCTATCTTCTTTTTTTCATTTTCATTTATGTGTAAAATTTATTGTTAACGTTGCCATGAATTAGTGTAAAATATTTCTGGGAGAAGGCTTCATAAGTTGGAATAACTTGTGACTAATCCAATTTAAAATCTGCAATAAAATATGTTTAAATAAAAAAATAAAAAAATTATACTGTAATAGTTTTTGTCAAAATGATACACCAAACATTATTAAAGCGAACATGATGCATGTCAGCAAGCAAATTGATACTTTGACAAAAGGCTGTTAGTTGATATATATATAAATATTGATAATGTCCAAATGGTTTACATCAGTGATATGAAGTGACGAAATTAACAGAATGTTGGACAAATTAATGCTATAGGCTATATTACAACCACAATCAGCGCAAAACCTTAGCGTTAGCTCCGACCTCAAGCAGTTCCTATCTTTTACAATTTACGGTTTAATGCTATTTTATTTTTTTATCAAATTGTGATAAACTACTTTGATTACAAATACTGCATTATCAAAAGATTACTTCAAACTATAAACATGCACAATTAAGATTTTATAAAACCCTGATTGCCTGACATAAACTGAACACTTACCATACCATATTTACTTCTTAATATCAACACTTGTAGAATCTTTTTCTGCGTTTCCCATTTAGGTTGTGTATTTAATAAGCTTTGATAGGCATGTCTGTCATTTACTGTTAATGAAAGTGTTAAAAACACTTTATAGAATTGTAGAAAAATGTTTGCTACCGGTAACTTCACCCCAGAATAGGTATAATGCTCATTTTTAAAGAATTGAGACTTCGTAATGACTCATTCGAGCTCTTACATAAACATAAAGTCTCAAGAACTATGTATTATATGGGAAAGATTCGATATTAAAATACAGAAAATCATTATATGAGGTTTTCATGTATATATATACCTAACAAAATACAGGCTTGCCTGCTAAGTCTTAGCTGTGAATAACAATACGCTAAATACCTGTGTAAGGTCCTTTGTCAAAACTCTGCCACCAAGATTATGGTTTTTGGCAAAATACCTCTTGTGTCACTGAATTATAGCAATAAGTTGAGAGGTAATATACTCCTGTATCGAATTGTACAAAATACCTTGGCATATGTAACGGGGACTTTAGCAACAAAGACGGTATAGAGGGGATTTAGAGCTCCTAAGTTATTGTCCCCCTAGAAACCCCACACTAGGCAAGTATCTATAAAAGAGCAATAAATTTAGTATGGAGAACATTCAATACCTTCCATATTTGTTGATTAGGAGAACTTTTTTCATATAATATTTGTCCTTTTCTTTCTTTATTATTATAAAAAATTGAAATAGCAATACCATTAAAAATCAAAGGGATATATTTCATAAAATTTCTATTAAATTTCAGAATTGAATTAAAATATATATATATATATTGTGTGATGTATCAAAAAAACATGATTTTCTGAATGAATAATTATATCATTACATTATTACCAAAAGCAAAATAAGAATGATTATAAAAGGAAAGAAAATGGACAAATAGAACATACCAAAACTAAAAGTAAGACACCCAGATATTTAGTAGCAATGTCTTTCAAGCATATATTTAAGTTACAGTTAAACATTTTTCATGAAGAATCAAATGTACTGCATACCAAAGCTGTATACTGGATATATAAAACACTAGCAAAAATGGAACCCAGAATCTGTGTGACCCCGGCTAGTGTGACCTCTGGGTATTTTAAAATAATTACAGCCTGACTGCCCTAATGTACACTATCATGACACCTAGCGTATACCACATCGAGGATAGCATCATCTCCGGTCACTATAACCACTATATATATATAGATACCATATCTCAACATCTCCCCTACCTGTGTTACTACAATTTATTTCTGTGATAAGTGATTCCGACATTACTCCAGTTTTAATGAGCTCAGTGCTTACCGTTACCTGTATCTATCCTCAATAACACCTAGAAACACCAGTGTTTGATGTGCCTGTGTGCTAGCGTCACTTTCATTACCATCAGTGTCAACGGAGAGACAAAGGACGATATACACAACATCTGTATCAGAAAGTTGATTACCTGATTGCCTCACAAATAAAAATGTATAACCGATATATATCTATAGAGCTAAACTCATACTACGTAGTGCATTTAGAAAGAAAAAAGATTTAATCAATATTGGACATGCTCGCATATAAAACATGCTAGTTTTTGAAAGTATTACAGTACCAACCTAAACTGATACCTACCCACTAGATAGATAATGTTGTTTTTTAAGTGATCCGAGGCACCAGAGATTAGGCGACACGTTAAGTCACAGTTATGTATTCTCTGAAACTGATAATTTGCCTCGCAACAGATACCGTCTTTCACCAAAAGATTTTCATAAAGATCCAATAAATATTTAACTAAACACATGTCAAGTCCATATCAGAATAATTATTAAGAATATGACATCACTGAAATGTTTGATAAACATGTATATATATATTTATCTAGGTATCTTAACCACACAAACTTACTGTTTCCAAAGGTAATGACAACAGAACGTCCCAGGTGATGAAAAGCTTGACGACAGTTTTACCTTAGTGACTGACACAACGCTATTCATGCAAAGTGCTACCATGGGACACTGGAAAACTATTGCCCCATATAGATTTCAGTTATCCTTGTGTGGAGAAAAAGTCGATCCCATATCACAAGGACTCTTTAACTGTATTCTATACCGACCTAGTCTCTACCTGTATCCAGCCTACCTGTTCTTACCTGCAAATTTGGGTGTTGCCATGGCAATAGTAACAACGTTCCACTAGCGGCATGCATAAATAATAGCCAGGTTGCTATAACAATCTGCACTTCTGGAGAGGCATTCAACAATGAAAATTACTGGAAATCAATCCAATTCTATAGGCTAGGACAAAAACTCCACAATTTTATAGAAAGCAATATCTCTGATTCTTCTGATGTACCTGACTTGCATAGTGATGTTACGGGACGGTACCAGCGTATTAAGACCTGGGTTATAATGTACACAATCAGTATTTTTATCTATATAAAACCTATGTGTTGTCATTTAAACCCTTTTCACACATGGGAGATTTTTATGGACCATTTAACTGTCATATTTCGGTGATATAATGAATTTTGCACAAGATGGATTCAGAGGTGTATCGACTACTGGCTCATTGCGTTGCCACGCAGTTCTGAGAGGAGTGTTAGAAATTCATTCATATAGAATCATGTAGCAATATAATTCTTGCGGTTTATAGGACTACAGTTATTGGTGTTGACTTATACTCGGGGAACCGAACTATTAATCATAGATAGCATAAACATATGCATGCATCTGATTAATTCGACCCCTCACCATTGTGAATGATAGGGCTAGTCTACACAGCACAAACAGCCATGATTATTAATCAATGGGTCTATTGATAAACACTTAAACTGTATTGACAGCACATGAAACAACAGTCAGGCCAATATAGGCATGTCCAACATGTTATATATATTGACACAAATTAATCTAATACTCGCAAATCTTTCTACTCCATCAAAAATAGCATATCTGACAGGTTATGTTAATTAAGAATTTAATTATTTTTTTGTCATCTATTAACAGTTATATATATATATATATATATATATATGAAAGACCATTAAATTGGCATTATCAACCCTTTTAAATTAAGACTTTCTATTTCATGAAAACTGCATATTTGATGAGTTTATTTCTAATAATTTGTCTTTTTCTAAATAATATTTTTCCTTGGAATTATTTTTCTAGAATCTTTATGATCCTGAATTTTTAGAAAATATGTAAAATTTGTCAATAATTTCACTTGTTTTAGACATAGATAAACAAAATTATACATCAAGGATTAACTCTGATCTTCAAGCTTTATGAAAATCTAAGAATATCTGGTGAAAACAAGAGGTCGAAAGGCCTGCGACACTTGGTCTTTACTTTATACTTATGTTGAAACCAGTACTGGTAATAAAAGATTTAGTAATGAGATTCTCTAAAAATGTACCTCTATACTTATCTCAGGCCTCCAATCCGATGTTGGTGTTTATTTTGAGTCGAATTAGCTTTACCGTTTGTATTCTTCAAAACCAACCAACATTTGTTTGGAGGAAAAAGTTCTTTTTCTTTTGAAAAATTATTATATCAAAGACACCCTTCAAAATGTGAAGTTTGAAAAATATTCATTTTTTCCCCAGAATGATTAAGTGCATGTTTAATTCATTCACCCCTGAAGACACATTTGAACTCTTCCAATTCAAAGGTTGGAATAGTTTATAATAACATTTCGGGGGTGAATGAGTTAATGGGTAAGTTATCCTTGTGAATCCAAACAGAATTCATGTAGTTCATGTTTATATTTTAAGCTGACCTGTAGGATTTTAGCTTTCAAAAGGTAGAAAGATCAAGTCCTACCAGTGACAGCTACCCTACAAGTGTACCATTCCAATGCTTTTCATTGCAAACTATATTCTATATTCAGTGTCCAGACGCCATTGTGTGATATTCAAAGTAAATGAAATAAATACATGTATGTAATAAAATCTGAAATTTCATTTAATTATCCCGCACCCCTGAGCTCCTAGACAGAGTTTTTGAGGGGCATAAATCACAATTTCTGACCCCTTCATATTAGCAAGCCTCTTAACATTTTGAGGGTCAAAAGCCATTTTAGAAGGTCATATATACACCATGTGGAGGTAAAGTGAAACCCTGGGACATTGTGGCACTGTTGCTGAAACATGCTGGACATGTCATATATATTGCAGAACATGCATTGGTTGGAAACACCATTTTTTCTGGTTTGGCTCATTGGATTACCGTAATATGATAGCTTTTTTCATTGGGGGGGGGGGGGGGGGGGGGAATGTGCAATGTGGACAATCAATCTATGAGGTTTCCTATGTCATTCATTGGATGGATTTTTTGTTCCTCATTTTCGTTTTGTTTAGGAATTTGTTGTCTAATTCATTTGGATGAAAATTGCACTGTTGCCACCATGTGTGTTGGTTTAAGCGTGCATGTGTGCTGGAGACAGGGTATGTTGGTGTCCTTAAATGACCTTAGCTGTTAATAGGGTTTAACAAAATCCAACCAAATCAAACCAAGCACTGTTGCCATTCTGACTTGTACGTTAACGTTGAATGCTTCGTGAATCCTATCACTGAAGTAACTGCTGGCTATCATTCGGTAAATTGTACAGGTTTGGTTCAAAAACAAATCTTAGCATTTTTCGATTTTTCTATATTTAACTGAGCGTCTTTGATTTGGGAAGGTTCAAATGTGACTTTAGGGCTTAATGGGTTAACTTCAAACTTTTCTCATAGAGTTGAAGAACAATCTGAACCCGCGAGTTGATGTAACAATCCATGTGATGTCAATCAAATATAGCCACTAACTGATTAAATGTTAATATATATATGAGACAATTTTTAATTGTACAAAGGTTAAGGGTCGCCTTCTAGCTTCGCGCGAGAGTGAATTTCCCTTTAGCTCAGTGGTAGAGCGTTGGACTAGGAAGCCCAGGTCACAGGTTCGATCCACCAGTGTTTGTGGCACTTCCTGTGGGGACCTGGGTTATTGTGGTGTTCGAAGGCGAAAGCATTTATAAAGGGGGAATTCGAAAAGTGTGGCAAATTTTAATTGTACATAGGATTATAGTTGTCTTCTAGCTTCGCGCTAGAGGGAATTCCTTTTAGCTCAGTGGTACTACTGGTAGAAGGTCTGACTAGGAAGTCCGGGATTACAGGTTTGATCCCCGTTGGAAGTACACTACTCTCTTTCCTATTATATATACAAAAGTGTATATAAATATCTGGTTCTTCTCTTTGAAAATAGTGTATTAACCATTAGATATGACATTGACATTAAGTCATAATTAATTAAGTATAATTTGGTTACACTGAAAGACCCTGTAATGAATAGGCACTGCTGTAAGAAAAATATCTTCATTCTAATCATTCAGAGAAAAGACATACAAATTTCCTGGATTATATATGGATACAATTCTTTATCAATAAGCACTGTGAAAGTTGAAACATTGAATATTAGCATTGAAGATAAAGAAAATATATTTTTGTAATGTGGAGATTGATTTCATCTATTATAGCTACGCAATTCTTTAATAAAATAAGAGTTCCTAACAATGAGAATTTGCGGAAAAAATACAAAAAAACTTGCAAATTTGGGGAAATTTCTGAATGAAAAATTATACTATTATTCTATATGGACACTGCACAACTGCCAAGAATACTGTGTTTAGCAATATTTCAATTATCATCGTTATCCACTAACAAAATGTTAAACACTTAAATACATCATCAATATTAACAAACTTTCAGAGAGATTGAAAAGTAAGAACTTGGGAGAATGACAGAGCTAGGGGATGGAGTTACAAATTGGTAAATATTTGGTAGCATTAGTGGATAACCCAAGTCACTGTTACTATTGTGTCAAGCAAGTGACCTAGGGTGTTCATTATTTAGTAAACAGAAAGAATGGTCAGAGTAGGAGATCTAGAATGTGCAGGTTGAAGGATGGTAGGAGGAACTAGGGTGTTATAAATGGGCAGTTTAAAAAAGAGGAGGAACTACTAGGCTGAGTAGGGGGAGATAAAACTTAAATTATGGAGGTTGAAGGAAGTAAGGGAGAGTAGGAAGGACTATTGTGTTAATAAGGTAACTTAAAGTAGAGGAAGGCGGGGTAGGGGAGCTAAAACTTAAATTATGGAGGTTGAAGGAAGTAAGGGAGAGTAGGAAGAACTATTGTGTTAATTAGGGAATTTAAAGTAGAGGAAGGCTGGGTAGGGGGAGCTAAAACGTAAATTATGGAGGTTGAAGGAAGTAAGGGAGAGATGGAAGGACTATTGTGTTGATTAGGTAACTTAAAGTAGAGGAAGGCTGGGTAGGGGGAGCTAAAACTTAAATTATGGAGGTTGAAGGAAGTAAGGGAGAGTAGGAAGAACTATTGTGTTAATTAGGGAATTTAAAGCAGAGGAAGGCTGGGTAGGGGGAGCTAAAACTTAAATTATGGAGGCTGAAGGAAGTAAGGGAGAGTAGGAAGGACTATTGTGTTAATTAGTATAGGTAACTTAAAGTAGAGGAAGGCTGGGTAGGGGGAGCTAAAACTTAAGTTATGGAGGTTGAAGGAAGTAAGGGAGACAAAGAGGAGCTATATTATTCATTATTTAAGTTGTAGAAAATAAGGAAAGAGGAGTTGAAAGTGGAAAGTACATTGAAAGAAGGAAAGAAATTAAATACAGAAGCAAGAGGGGAAGGAAAGGGGAGAGATCACAGGTTACAAAGTTAATGTCAAGCAGGAAGACCAGAGGGGAAGAGGTAAGATGTAAATGAATTAATAAAGATTTATCTCAGATCAGCAGGATTGATGATTTCAAGAAGATTGGGAAAGGGAGAGATAAACTCTGGAAAGCAGTTAATAGAGATAGAAAGGGGTCTAATAATATGAAGGAAGAAAATTGAAAAAATGATTAAACGAAAAAAAAAGAGTACTGAAAAGATATTATTATAGGAAACAAGATAACGCAAAGCTTGACATTATCCCCCATGCCCCGCTATTTAAAAGAAAGACACAATCAAATATATATGTTAATATTACAATAGCAGAATGTATTACCGGTAACTCCATTCCACCACTGTTACTGATATTTTGATGTGGATCATCTTTTACAAAATATTGATGACTTCCCCATGAAAGAAGACTTGATAAGAGCACTTAAAGCATCATAAGTGTACAAAACTTCCTGTATAAATCTTGAATGCAAATGGCTCCAATAGAGTGCCAAGTTGATAAGTGTACAAGTTAAATTTCAATTTGTTATTTTTAACAGTTTTGAGATCATGCTTCAGAAACCTCAAATTTCGTATTTTTGCCTTTTTCCATGGCAACAGAAAAGGGGAAAATATATCTAAAATGAGAACTCCTCCAGTATCAAAATGCACCAAGAGAGTGCTGGCTTGTACAAAGTGTACAAAGTTTCAGGCAGTTCTTGAACAATTTTGTTGCCATGCTCTTGAAAGATGGAAACCGTGAAATTTGTAATTTTGCCTTACTATAGAGTGATAGGATGATAAATGGACAAAGTTTAAGGTACATGTAGCTATATAGTTATCTTGAAAGGTTTTGACACTCTACGTACACCGGAAACAGCAAAATTTGAAGTTTTGCCTATCTGTTTCTATTGGTAACCAAAAAAAAATGAAAACAAGACTTCTCCATAGCAAAAGGCACTACCAGAATGCTAGCTTGATAGTTATACAAAGTTTCAGGTAGTTATCTTGAACGGTTTTGGAGTCATGATCCATACAACAGTAATTTGGTAACAGAAAAGGTATTTAAATGGGGAACTTCTCCATAGCAAAAGGTACTTCTAGAGTATTAGCTTGATAGCTGTACAAAATTTTGAGTAGTTATAATATCTTAAACATTTTCAGAGCTCTGGTCTGGAAAAAAACATGCACAGACGGACGCAAGGACAGAGCCCAATTTAATATCCCCCACAAATGTGTTTCATGGGGGATAACTAACTTGTGAAGTATACAGCAAAGAGTCTATACTTTTGACAATTGATGTATGCAAAAAACAATTTTATTTTTGCCTGCATCTAATGTTACTATGGAAAGAACAATTTGGAATTTACTTACAATTACATGAATAGGATATTAATTTAGTAAAGTAAACTTTTTATTAATATATATTATCAAAATCATCTGAGCTATAATCTCCAAAAATACATCAAGGGAAAAAAGGTTATTACCTGAAATTAAACTTTCACCTCATTTAGTGTTTTGTTCTTTAGTGACAATCTCTAAGAATTGGTTATGAGACATACTAGCTATAATATAGACAAGCAAATCATTAAGATATGTTTTGAGATAACAAATCAAGTTTGCCAAAAAAGCTCAAAGTACACATTCATATATATAAGCCCTTAGTATATGATATGATATTTAAGGCAAGACTGTGTAGATAATCATTCAATTTTCAAAAGTATTTGTTTACATTTTCTATCTGTATAAATGTTCAGTATTATACAATATAGCTCTCGAAACATTCAGACTTATTTTAAATACCTCTGAATAATATCTGAAAATATACATCATTATACTGCAGATTTTATCAATAAGACATGATCGGTGAATAAAATAGTCTGTGTATACTACGATTATAAAAAATATGTACTTCAAAGTCATTCATTCTACACAACCTGCCAAGTTTCTAGTCTATAGCTACCACTTAAAAATTTTTGCCTGCTAATTTATATAGCACAACTATTATTATTGAAGTTGCTAGTAGCAACCAGCCGGTGAACATTTGACAAACTACTTAAATATACACTAAATCATGCTTGTGCTAGAATCGTTTATCAATTGGACAACCTTTAAAAATAAACCACTTCAATGGAAGAACGTCCTAATTTCTCAATAAATTGATCGGGATTGGGTCTACTAGAATATCAGCTTAACAAATTCTTTGGAAAAATAAATACACACTATTCTGTTATTGAGCTCAAACATTTGCGGCATATGTCTAAAATCCTTGTAAACTGCTTATTCAGAACGATATGTATTAAAAGAAATTGTTTGCTTCGTGTTGGGTGCTTGCCAAGTCACTGGGTTATAGATTAATCTTTAAAAGTCCCAGGCTGAAAACAATGGCTATCTAGTTCCTATGACAACCCTAGCAGCTGAATATAAAACAAATTTGAACTTGACAAGAGAACATGGCATTGTTACTATATATGTTAAAGCTGGGTAGATTATATGTGGGGCGGGCACAAGACTGGGCATGTATATTATTGGTATAATGTGACTTGTTTCCATGACAACTCAAATATACAACAGCCTGAAAACGACCCCACTATCAATCAGCTATGACAAAATAAAATAAAAATGTTTGACCATATTTTTAAGAGATTCTATTATAGAAAGGTTACAGAAAGGATTATAAAATCTAAACATTATCAATAAACTATAAATAGGAACAGTCAACTTCTCTTAACAAGGAAAAATATTGAGTCCATAAGCTTAGCCGTAAGAAAATTTTAGCATATGTCGTCTGCTAACTTTAGGCCAGCTGAACTAAAAAATCCAACATCAGATTGTTATGAACATTAACAGTTTTATGAATCAACAAACCTGCTTATCTAGGGTGTATTTACTTTAAGTATATTATATAAAAACACTTCAAAATTTGCTTAATCCATGTACAATTTCTGTTTGCACAAAAAAAATCCAGAAATCACAACTTGCACATGCATGATAACAAAGCATTTGTATCGCTAGAGCAATACTAATGTATAATAACCTGGTATAGTATATTTTATTTACTTTATCAACATTTGAATGATTTAAACGTGCCATGAAACTTCGTATTTTTTATCTCTCCAGATATCACTGTTGTTCGGCAAATTTTATCAAATCGAAAACCAGGCCAACCAGCCTATCAGTCTTGTGTCAATATATTTACCTACAAAATGTTACGTTTTCGTCTGTTTCCTCCCAAAACATGAATACATAAATGTCACACACAATGCAATATCAATAAAATGAAATAACTTGGCATCGAATCAAATTCCCTTCATATGTATATTTAACGTTAGCTGACCTTTGAGGCGTGAATTTGCGATAATAAACTTTTGGGGTGAAAAGTACGGAATCTGCCCGTAAAACTTTTCGAAGTTTTTAACCGTAATATGTTAGATAAAGAGTTAACTACACCAAGAAACGATAGCAACATATTGTATAACATTGTAACCTTAACTGTGAGAAGTTGTTTGTTTTTATAAATTGATAAAAACAAACTTAAAAGTAAAATAAAAGTGGGTTAAACATTACCTTCAAGCCTCTTCGATCATATGGGATGAATACCGAAACCACACGTATTCTCGTTTTGTGCGAACTTTTACGAGAACACGCCTTCAACAATAAACTGTTGTTTCAAACCAGATAATGCGCTTTTATGTCAATATTTTATTTAAAACTTGTATTTAAACTTCAGTAACACATGAAAATCGACCTTAGTAGCAACAAAATATTTGAATAACCAGCTCGATTGGTAATATCGCAAGCGGTCTCCTTGACAACTGTCCGCCATTTTTTGTAATCAACTTTTCGGTGTGTTTACAAAAGTCTCCTCTGCTTTAGGACGTGTTTTGTTGTTTCTTTATTGATTTTGAAAAGTGACAGTTGTACAATTATGTCTGACCAGGAGGAAGGTTTAGGTATGGAAGAGGAGGAAACACAGGAAGAAGCTGGAGGAGAAGAAACAGAGGCAGGGGAGCAAGAAGAGGCGGAAAATGAACAAGATGAAGACCTCGGTGACGAAGAAGAAAAGGAACTTGGGGAGGAAGAAGAACAGAAAGAAGAAGAAGAGGTTTGAACTTTATCATTTGAAATAGCTTTTACATATCCCTATTTGTTAAAAATTAACATTTCTTATATACAATACTTCCAATATTTATTTGATACACCTATTTCCATGAGGGCTACTACTGTACTTCAACTTCACTCACTGTATACTGAAGTTAAATGCATAATTAATGTAATCTCAACATAATGTCATTTTCAAGTTAATTAGTAAACACACTTGTAAATTGCTAGAAGAGAAACTGTTGTGAGCATTCCATTTCCTTCCAGGTTCTTACCATTAAAATTAAAACCATAGAAGACGTCTAAAGGCCTGGTGGTAGAAATTTTGTTTACAAACTTGGCATTTTTCAGTCACTTCAGGAAACTGGCATTTTGGGTCTCCAGAAAAGTGGATAAGGAGAAAGGACCCAAATCGAATCACTTTTAAAAAAAAAAAAAACACTTTTAAATCTAACAATGATGCAACCTTAAAATAGATAGCCATGCATGCAACATCTTTGGTCTACAGATGATTACTTTTTAAGTTCAAATTAACTTCCGTAATCGTCAATATTGACGGAGGAAGGTAAAAAGATGAAGATGAAACTCAAAAGTCAGCTAGTGTTTTGTTAACGTTTTTAGAAAATGGCGCCTGCGACCACTATATGCATTCTGTTTTGGCCTTTAGGTATAAATTCACCCTATAACAATAAATTCACCCTATAGAAATAAATTCATCCTATAGAAATAAATTCACCCTATAGAAATACTCGTTTTCATACAAATTCCAAAGGTCTTCATAAAATGCTGACAAAAAAAAAACATTTGAAGTTTAAGATACTGCAAAATTCAAGCCTTGATCCGATTTGGGTCCTGCATGACATTCACAAAAACCGGAACAACTGATAGGTGACGTCTGATTCTAAACACATTTCACATGAGCCCCGGGTGCTAATTCTTTTTTGTAAGAACACCCATCTATATTCTTCCTTAGTTCATCCTCAGAATTTTCAATGAATTAATAAAATGATGGTTTAGTGATCCGATTTGGGTACTGTCACCTTAAGCATAAGTAATAGGTTTAAGAATGTTAATGAATAAGTAAAAGAATCTTGTGAGGTAAGGTTATCTTGCACACCAATATCTTTGTACATTAAGTAGAAGCCGCGCTTTATTAAATCTCATTAAAACAAAATTAATGGTTAAAAGAGATGGGCAAATTGGGTTAAGGGTCAACCAATGGGCGTTTTTGTACAGGCTAGAGGTGCCAAATATTGTTACAGAGACAATCATAGCTTCTGTAGTTTATGAATGAAAAATGTAAATTTTCATGTGTACTCACGTGATACACATACCATGGCAAAAAAAATGGTATTTGATGATAATTGGTCAGCAACCATTTGTCCTAGTGTTTTGTTAGTGAGTTAATTAACAGCAACTTTAAAGTTATTGACAGCTATATTGCTTGACAGTTTTTGATAATGGAAATTCAATTAAAAGTAACATTATGTCCTTATCTGCACTTGTCGGAATACTCACATCACATCACATAAGACATATTGTAATATTCTGTGCATGAAAGTCATTTCTCAATTTCTGAAAAAAATAGGCTAGTAAGTAAGTTAATTTTAACTTTCAGTTTCTTTTTTATTAATGATCTTGACTTTAATAGTGCTTCCATGAAAATTGGCAAAGGTGTTAAGGGTTACTAGGCACAAAAAAACCCATTTGTTTTGGCCTGATAATTGGGTTGGTTCCCAAATACCTTTATCATTTTTTATTTTCTTTTTACAGAAAGTCCCAGAAAATCCACTGACAGAGGAAGCTGTGGCAGAAAGTCTTTCACTGTTGTGTAAAACGGGAGATGGTTTAGCACATGCCTATGTTCGTCTGGATGTACACGAAAAGTAAGATCATGTTTCTGTAAGAGTTGATTTACATCCCTTGTTACCCTTATAGAAATACTAAAAGTAAGGATAATCTGAAGGTGGCTGGCAAGCATTTATTAACCTTTTTTTCTGTCCATCTGACTGGTTTTAAAATAAATAAGTGTACAGTAAAAAAACTGCTCTCTGACCACCTCCATTAAGAGACCACCTGTGTTAAGAGACCACTTGTTTCGTTCCTCATTGTAGTGCATTCATTGTGAATTTAACCTGTATTAAGAGACCACCTGCACGAAGAGAATTCTTGGATTTCCATATATGATCTTTTAATACAGGTTTGACCATAGGTATATATTTTGAGAACTAAAGGGAGATAACTTGACCAAAAACTGCTCATCAGTGATGATCTTCATACTTTCATCAACTTATAACTTTTTTATAGATTATTATTTTGAAATAAAATTTCCTCCTGTTGTTGTTCATACTTTTTTGTACATTTTATTTTCAGAGAATTAACAAATGTTAGCATATTGAAGTCATTTATTCACCTTCGTTATGTGGATGTGAGCAAAAACAATTTAAAAGACCTTTCAGCTCTGAGTGCGCTGACACACTTGTTGACATTGAAAGCGGACTACAATATGTTGTCTAGCGTCAAACTAGAGGAAATGCCATTTTTACAAGTTGCAAGTTTTAATTTCAACAAAATCAACTCGTTAGAAGGAGTTAGTCATCCGATGCTTGAAAATTTAAGTCTCAACAGTAAGTATGATTTTCATTGACTTCTTTACAACACCTCTTAGCTATAACTATTCTTTTTCAGGATTCAAGTCTTAGTATTTACAATTGAATATTTCCATTTGGAATTCCATCCATGATATTCCAGGGGTTCCACTCTCTTTTACTTATTGCACCCTTAGAATATATCATTACAACAGTAAGGGTAAAGTTGACTGGCTTTGGAGTCAGTGGTCGCTCCTCTGTAACATTCAAAGGACACGTATCAGCCTTAGCGATTGGTCAGGTGTTTTTACCTGAGACCAATCAAATAGCTAGCCAGGTGCCTTCAATTTTGCTATAACATATTCCAGGGGTGCAGAGAGTGAAAGTGAGCGTAACCCCTGGAGTAACACTAACAAGGATGACGTTACTCCGGTTTCTCCCCCAAAAACCTAATGCACCCTTCCATCCAGGCTTAAACAAGAGTGACTCACACAAATTGGGATAACTTGTTTTATAATTAATGTAAAATAACGTTTATATTAATTGTTTTTCTCCTTTTGAGTTAGGCATAAAGAAATCTTCTTGTATGTATTGGATAGCTGCATGTAAACTTAGTCTGTTTATAATAAACTATCAAATTATTATCATCGGTCAACTGAAGTTAATTTCTAATATTAATTCCTCCCATATGAATGTGAAATAGAAATGCTTACAGCCAACAAATAAATCTGTATCTGTTAGTTTGTATCTAATGTATAGATATATTATGTCAGGTGTCAAATCATTGATTCATTCTGTTTTGTTGTCTTTTCTATATTATTCAAGCCGAAAATGTGTGCCCAGGGTTTCAAAATTAATTACACTGCAGACAAACACTTGAAAAAAATATATGAAAATTTGCGTTGTAAAACATTAATAAACATGATACCACAGTATGTCTATTTCAACAGAATAGTCCATTCAATTACTATAAGCATCTGAATTTATTTATAAGGGAAATGAAAAGAAAATTATAAATATCCTTTCCTCTTTCAGATAATGAAATCACAGAAATAGCAGGACTCGATGAAGCAAAATTGGCTCGCCTCCATACACTGGAGTTAAGGGGCAACAAGCTAAAAACCACAGGTGGGGTACACCTGCCAAACCTGAAGAACTTGTTTATGGTATGTTATAAAAGGATAAAAACAAATATCAGGTATGATATTTGTTAGGGCCGGCTTGAGAGATGTCTCAGCCTGCAAAACACAGGAGTAATATATTCTATTGGTTGCTTTCCCCCAGACTACCTAAAGATAATCTATAGTGGTTAGCCAGATACAATTGAACTGTTACCAAGGTCTTTTCCACAGAAAAAGTATCGTAGAATATCAACAGTAAAGGAAATCAAAAACATACAAAAAAGTAAAAAACAAAATTTGTGAGTTATCTCCCTTTACAGTGTTAAATCAATCCAAATATCTGGGATAATATTAGTCAAACTACAATGTAAAATAATATATTGGTATTTTTTGATACATGTATTTATAAGCAAAGTGAAAAAATATTTCACAAATAATCTCAACAAAATGCTTTATCTTTGTTATATATATCCTAGTCAGACAGTGTAAGGGTCCTAATTTAAGTTGTTAACACATACTAATACTACTAGGCCAGAACCTCTAGCTGGGTTTGAACTGTCTTAATTCACCACTGCATGCTATAGACATCAGGAACTCCTTGACCATCTCTGAATTTGCAACTGTGTTTTATAGAAGCCAGATCCTCCTTGGTCCTGTTTAAATTGAGTCACTTCCTGCTTTAGCTTGAGTTACATTAGATGGAGCGACTGTGGTGTATTTTACAATAAAGTCCATCCTTTTTTTTAGGCTGCCAACACTATTGACAAGATTGATGATATGGACTCCCTCCATAACCTCACAACACTCCACCTTAGGGACAATCAGCTGGAAAATCTGGAAGGCTTCACAGACAAACTCCAACTCCTCCAGTACATCAACCTCAGGTAAACCTGCCACTGACCTTACATGTTAAGTACAAGCTCACTATCACCCTCAGGAAAACCTGCCACTGACCTTACATGTTAAGTACAAGCTCACTATCACCCTCAGGAAAACCTGCCACTGACCTTACATGTTAACTACAAACTCAATATCAACCTCAGGTAAACTCGCCACTGACCTTACATGTTAACTACAAACTCACTATCAACCTGAGGTAAACCTGCCACTGACCTTACATGTTAAGTACAAGCTCCCTATCAACCTCAGGTAAACCTGCCACTGACCTTCCATGTTAACTACAACCTCACTATCAACCTCAGGTAAACCGGCCACTGACCTTACATGTTAACTACAAGCTCACTACCAACCTCAGGTAACCCTGCCACTGACCTTACATGTTAACTACAAACTCAATATCAACCTCAGGTAAACTCGCCACTGACCTTACATGTTAACTACAAACTCACTATCAACCTCAGGTAAACCAGCCTATGACCTTAAATGTTAACTACAAACTCACTATCAACCTCAGGTAAGCCTGCCACAGACCTGACATGTTAACTACAAACTCACTATCAACCTCAGGTAAGCCTGCCACAGACCTGACATGTTAACTACAAACTCACTATCAACCTCAGGTAAACCCGCCTATGACCTTACATGTTAACTACAAACTCACTATCAACCTTAGGTAAACCCACCACAGACCTTACATTTTAACTACAAACTCACTATCAACCTCAGGTAAACCCGCCTATGACCTTAAATGTTAACTACAAACTCACTATCAACCTCAGGTAAACCCACCACAGACCTTACATGTTAACTACAAACTCACTATCAACCTCAGGTAAGCCTGCCACAGACCTTACATGTTTTAAACTACAAATAAACTTTTACCAAAAAGTAGAACCCTGTATGTACCATATTCGTAAACCTAAGAAACCCTAAACCAGCTTGCTGTAACGTATTCTCAACGTCAAATTATTCTACCTAATTTTATTTTTTTAATATAGAAAAACCTGCCTATAACCAATTACTATAGAAAAAAACTATTACCCATACATAATGTATATATATATCCTTTTTGCAAATCCTTGTCTTCAAAAAGCTTGTATCTGTATCCATTGTTCTGTCTGAGTATAAACATTGATGCTAAAGCATATAATCTCATTAGTAAATTAATTTGTATATCCCCTTAGTTGATTATAAATATTTTTCTGTAGAGAACTGATCCCCTGGGATTAATATACAGTTAAATTATGTGCTTGGGGGATGAGACCGAGTCTATTTCCAGAGGCGCGGCATGGAGGAGGGTATCCAGCTTTATCCTGTTGTCCAATTTCTTTAACTGTTTTATTACTGCCAGGACATTTTTGTCAAAGTTTGATGTTCATTTTTTTGCTCTCCATCATTAGATATCAGAATTTATGAAATAAAGGTTTGGCAATATGAATGTGAACAAGTGGTAGGCAAAGTTTGAATTGGCAAAATTACCTGGCATACAGATACTAATTTGAAATTGCTCAGACATTTCAGAAAGATAATTGCAATAACCAGAAACCTATCAATTATTGAGACATTTTTTGAGAGGGATCAGGTCAATTTTTCATCTCCTCCCCCCTTTTTTTTTTTTACCTGATTGGCTTAGTCATTTCTGAGAGGAAGTTATAAAAACTGCTGAGGATGTTAGTCTGCACCCTTTGAAACTATTGAGGGTGTTAGTCTGCACCCTTGGAAACTGCTGAGGGTGTTAGTCTTCACCCTTGGAAACTACTGAGGGTGTTAGTCTTCACCCTTGGACACTGCTGAGGGTGTTAGTCTGCACCCTTGGAAACTGCTGAGGGTGTTAGTCTGCACCCTTGGAAACTGATGAGGGTGTTAGTCTTCACCCTTGGAAACTGCTGAGGGTGTTAGTCTGCAGAGGTGTTTTATTTTCGGACTAACACACACCTGATAGAGGAGGACTAACTCCCTGGACAGCAAAGACTGAATTTTACCTTTATAATTAAAAACAAAACTGACAAATGTACAACCATCTAACTTAAAAATCTGCCTACTTTATTTTTTCAGAAATAACTTGATTGAAAGCATAATCAATTAATTAATAATACATGGTATACATGCTTTTATTCCAGAGGAAACAACGTCACATCTGTGAAGGAACAGGTGCCAAAGATGGCATGTCTTCCAATGCTCAGGGCCTTGGTGCTGTTTGGTAAGCTAAAGACCATTATTGACAACAATGGAGACATATGCCCAGGACTTAAGTTTTATCAAAGTTTTATGAATAATACATGTAGATGAGCTCTTAGGGCTTTAATTTCTATCAAAGTGGTACTGTATTTATAATACATTCAGATAATTGTCCAGGGATTTAGTTTTATCAAAGTTTTATTAATTATAAATGTAGATGAGCCATGGGGCTTTATAGTCTTATTAAAGTGGTATTTATAATACATGTAGATAAATGCCAAGGGCTTTAGTGTTTATCAAAGTGGTATATGTGATACATTTAGATAAATGCTCATGGCTTTAGTCTTTATCAGTGTGGCTAAATGTATCAAAAATACCACTTTGATAAAGACTATAAAGCCCTTGGCGTTTATCTAAATGTATCACATATACCACTTTGATAAAGACTTAAGCCCTTGGCATTTATCTAAATATATCACAAATACCATGTATTTAGATAAACGCCAAGGGCTTTAGTCTTTATCAAAGTGGTATATGTGATACATTAAGATAAACGCCAAGGGCTTTAGTCTTTATCAAAGTGATAATGGAATTGGTCTTTTTTTAAGTGGTACATGTATTTATATTACATGCAGATATCCGTCTCACCAGAGTGTTATGTTTAACAACTTTTGCTTATAATATTCTATATACAAACCTAATAGATTTACTGTTACGTTAAATGAAGGAACAGTCCTTTCCAGACAATTAAATAAAAATGTATTTCTAAACCGTAATAGAGAATCCAGCCCACGAGGAGGATGAGTACCGCCTAGAGGTTCTGATCGGGCTCAGAAAGCTTGAACGACTGGACAAGGACGAATACTCTGAGGAGGAGAGGAATGAGGCAGAGGAAATTTATGAACAACGCCTCAAGGAAGACGCAGAACGTGAGGTGGGTAATCAGCGTGGTACGACTGCCCGGGTACAATAAGAAACCTGCACCATACATTGTACACACATTCAAGTGACTTCAATTTTGTTTTATCAGTGGATACTTTCAAAATCATCCTAAATATTAAGGTGCACTGTTAACTTTGAGGATAGAATATTGGATGTGGTGTAAAAATAAGGAATCTTCAACATCATTTTGCAATTTTTGTCATTTATGGAATTTCATTTTAAAGATTGACCCAAACAATTTCAGATTAAATTAATCCAACCAAAGATTATAGAATGTACAGCTTCTGTGAAAAGATTGAGCAAATTTATTTTTAATTTTTAATGTACATGTGTTAAATAGAAGCCTATAAAAATACAGATTTTGTGAAAAGTTGTGAACATGAATATTACAATATTTAATGTGAATTTGTGAATTCAGTGACATCTGAATAGAATATACACAAGTTACATGATGAAGTTATTTCACAAAACACCATTGAAGCTATAAAAAATAATTTGCTGGATACAATTCAAATTATTCAAATAAATTATATTCAAAACCTATTCTACATTACTGTAGGTAAGATCAAATATGCCACTTCAGTAATTGTGTCCTCAAAGTCCTACAAAAGAATCTCAATTTAGAGAATGACTGTGAAACTGTTCAAGAACTAAACCTTAAAATGCTCAATTGCCCTGTGGCCTACATTTAATCTTTGGGATTGTGTATCCCCTGGATGGAAAAATGTTCAGATTAATTTTCAGCTTGTCAGCTCTTTTTGTGTAACAAACACGGGATATTATATATTAAGGTTGAATCAATGGTTTAACATTTTAATAGTACATGTAAATAATGATTTTTTGATTTTTTTTTAATAACCTAGGCAGTGGAAATATAACTGTTGTTTATAAATGGTGGAAGTCACACAGCATTCACAATATCCTGTGTTTTGTCCCAGTATTGTTCACCTAATGATGTTAAATGTTGGATACAAGTGTATGTATCATAATATAAAGTGTGGTCACACCCCTTAATTCTGCGTTAAATAATATGTGGAAAATGTTGTTCTTCCTCAAAGAGACAAATTCTAAAAGTTTAAATGCTTTCATATTTAAATTATTGATATTGATATTTTACTTACAATTTTTTGAATGGAACGTATGATCACATCTTTTTTTGTGTGGCCTTGCAGAGAAATCTCAAAATATTGTATAAGCACTAAGATTTAAGTTCAACAATAAGTTCTTGTAAACATTTTTTTTAACACAGATCTGAAGATCATTATTCACTTAAATTATGATTAACAGATTTTTTTTATATCTCATGGGAGAGTTGATAAATTTAAACCAGTGTCAAAAAAGTTTTAAAAGAATTTGTCTCTTTTAATTTCTCACTTAATTTATTACAAGTTTTTAATGGATACTGTTTGAATGATTGATTGCACAGAATAAATATTTTTTACCCTTTGACCTTTGACCTTTCACCATAAACTGTGACCTTTGATTGACAGGCAAGTGGAGAGGATCAGCAAAATGAGGATTGATGAGAACTGAGTATGTTGCTATGGAGATGAAAAATAAACTTTGTGTAACCATAACAATATAGAACCGAGCTACAGAAGCTGTAGTCCTAGTCTTACTGCTAATGGTGTCATCTTCTATATTAACCAATCAAATTGTTTGACTTTCTATGCTTCCCCGTTTAAAATTGCTTTATAAACCATTTGCATTCATCCCTGTTATTTTTTATGTCAGACAATGAACTTTTTAAAAATACAGAATGTCACAATTCTATGAATTACATGTAATTTAAGGTAATCAATAAGGCAAATGGTCTTTATTTCAGTTTCTGAGCAAGAGTAAATATACCCATTATAGTCATCTTACCCATGGCATAATGATGACAGTAGGGATGCTTTTGTTTTTCAAGCATTTGACAGAAAACTTGAATATCTGAGTTTTTAAGATTTTAACAGATGCAATTCAACTTCATTATCTCAAACTCTTTTAACTTGAAGACCCTGTCTAGCTTGGAGTATTACTTTGGCCAAAACTATTCTTAATCTTGGTAATCTCAATTATAAAATCCCAAACTCTTAAAACTCGAAAAACTAAGAACGTCCCAAAGTAAAACATTGGTCCCAACAGCAAGTGTATTTGAAAGTTTTGTTTATCAGGAAAATAAGCTTTTTGTTTTTAATTTTCCATATATTTTATTTTGGACCATTATGACATTTTACTATGTTTAATATCCTCATAGGTGTGATCATTTTGCTAGATACTCCATAGGCTCAATTCAAAACTTATAGAAACTATTGAGCAGCATTTTAACAAGAGTATTAAATCCTTTGACCTCCCCTGTCTGGTGATGGGTGATCATTCTGACAAAGCCTTTGAATTTGTTGTGTGTACCTGTTTCATCCTGTGTGATGTGTGGATCCCCATTTGACCTTTGATATATTAACATGAAAAACCAACACTAACAAAAACCAACTTTCACATGCAGTTAATAAATTGACAATTATATATATATTTTTTTCATTTTGTGCATGAACATTTAAAACAATAAAAATTATGTTAACTCATTCACCCCTGAAATGTTATAATGGACTACTCAAACCTTTGTATTGGAAGATTTCAAATGTGTCTTCAGGGGTGAATGAGTTAATTGAAAATGATGATATCGTCATTTTAATACAGAAATGTTCTGTTGACCACTTACAGTGTCCTAGCGCCACTAACTTGTAACAAGAGGTAAACCCTCTATGATGTACATTGTATCACTCCTCGGATCGTTGGAATCCAGTTACATTTCCATAGCTTTATTAATTGGGTAAATGATGGATTTCCCCTGGTCTGTCCATAAATGCTTACATTGATTTGTAACGAATATTAATTGTAAATAGAAAGAATCACATGTTCTATTTTAAGTTTGTTCATGTGTAACAACTGTTTTTTAGGTTGATACCTATCAGTACCAGGACCTGTTGATTTAATCATTTCTGAACTAAAATTAATATTGATGATATATTTCAAATATCCAAACCAAAATGTTAAACAGCTAAATAGATCTACGAGTGTCACTGATGAGAAACTCCCTTGAACAAGTAGTACATCATATATGGGTTTTAAAAAAAAATGAATTTATTTAACTAAAGTTGCATGTACAGGAATTCTTAATCACCATCTGAAGAATATAAAGAAAAGAAGTTAATACAAAACTTAATGTATCTCAGACATAATTGATTATTTAAAATGCATTTTGAGTCTTTAATTTGAAAACATTTTACTTTTGTTGCAATAGCATGAAACATTTAACCAAGTCATTTCGTCAGTGGTTAGCTCCTGACTGAAGGGAGATAATCCCTCTGTGATATAGAACTAATTTAGTGTTTGTTCAGGTAAGGCATTGAAAACCCGTCTGAATTAACAACTACAGTGCTATTTAGAATAGATATAGGTTTCAAGTGACATAGATCAATTTACATAAAAATGTGTACATGTATACTATAATGGCTTAATCGTAGTAAGAGGTTTTACAGCTGTTGAATTCCAGATTACAGAGGGCCATTAGTTTTTATTAAACAGATTTAGCAAAATACCTAAAACAAATCAAATTACCAGGGTACACCCTTAAACTGTTGAGATATTGGTCAATATTGACTAGGAAATGTCGGATCTCGATACAGTATTTACTTATACCGTTTGTTTCAGACAAAACCTTTAAGCACACTACTAGTAGGGCCAGGTTGGTAAGACGATGCACTGGTCCAATGATTGTTTTCTTCTATTATGACAGTCTAAACTCTATTAAAGAATATTTTTTTAAAAGAAGAATTTCGTCAAATATCGATCTATATCTTTATCTTGACAACAATTTTTCTCATATTCATTCATTGTAAATCTTATTTGTTTCACTTGATGACCCCTGAAAAGCACATAACCATCAAAAATAAAAATTGTTTAGTCTTTGCAAGATTTAACTTATTTCAATATGTAATTTCATTAATTAAGTTTGAATCTTTTCACACCAAACACCATATTGATATGACTCTATAATCCAATGTTAAGTACAAATCTTTGCACCCATTTTTCTTCGGTTTAATTTGAATGAGGTCGTACATTTGTACTTGGTCCTTCATTCCCTTTTTTTCAGGACTTTGCTATGTTGAGTTGGTGATGTGGTATTTCTAGCTCAGGATTGATCCTGGACTGTCATGACTATTGTTTTATTTACAGAGTGTTACCCGTAAATTTGTTATATTTATTGTCCTTTTTTGTTTCAAAAAAGATTACCCTGCATTTCTCATACCATTTGTTATATTTATTGTCATTTTTTGTTTCAAAATGGGAATTACTTTGCTTTTCTCATATGTTGTATATGCTAGTATTAAATATCTATTTGTAGTTGTCCGTAAGACCATAAGTACAGCTAGGAGAAATGAACTAGATCACACCGTAATGTACCCTTTGTAATCCTATTGTTATCAGATTTTGGGATTCAATGTTTTTCAGAACACACCTTACCTATTCATTCCAAATTACATACACAAGTGTGTGGTCTTGCTTTTATCACATACCTTCCGTATTTGGTAGAGATCAAAACAAAGATACATAAAGTTTGTTTTTTTTGCAAATACCAGGAACTTTTCAATTTGCCATGACAAGGGGATTCCCATAAAAAGTAGTTCCGGCTAGTAGGTAAATACAACATTCCATATTGCACATGTGCAAAACAGAATGTTGTATTTCATGTTGTGTATTGCTATAACAAGATTCAACAGGTATGTGATGAATATTCATTCACACCTTACATATTTATTCCAAATATATGTTAGAATTATTATTCTGAATTTCAACATATTATAAATATCAAACAGTTAATCTCAATATGCATGTAACAAATTTATTCTAAAATATTTACAGTGTTGTACACTATTTCATTATCTAAGCATCAATCATGACTTTCTGATCATATTATTGTGAAAAATGTTTAATTATCATTGAGTAATTTGAATATTTAATAAAGAATAGTACATTTTTAATTTATATAAATAAAAAATAGCGATTTTTTTTTCTATTGAAAGTTTCTTTTTTCTGAAAGCAGACAGGAAATATTTGCAATCAATTGAAAAAAATATATCATATGAATTATGAAGGTTAGGTAAAACCTCTTTAAAGGTTAAGATATATTTGGATTACCTTTTATGTGGAAGCATCCTCGATATCCAGGTTTTTGCTCACTTTTGCTCTCTGCACCCCTGGAATATGTCATAGCAAAATTGAAGGCACGAAGATAGCTGTACAATAAACCTCAATTTTTACTGTTACGTTAGGTAACCGAGAGATTCTTTTGAAGGATCAAACTAGTCTTCTCGTCTCATTTCAACGGGTGCTGCATACTGAGCCTTCAATTTTGCTATGACATATTCCAGGGGTACAGAGAGCGAAAGGGAACGTAACCCCTGGATACCGAAGATGATGTGGAAGTCGCCTATATCTATGACTATAAATTGCAGTTCTTTCCCTATGAAACTTACATGCACATCAATTCAGTTTGATAATTCGAATCGGGATGAGCGCATTGATGTTCTAAATGATTTACAAATGGGATGCTGAAAATGGAAATTCTGAAAAATGGAAACAGAAAAGGGTACTTTTACCAAATTCTGAGATAGGACATTTTGTAAAACTTGACATTTAAGACATTTTGTGTCAGTTATTATTGAACGAATGGCCAAGCTGGTTAAGGAATACTTTTAAATCATTAATAAGTTTCTACCGTTATATTAATATCATGCTTTTTGTTTCAGAATGAGGACAACTCGGATGAAGAAGATTAAATCCCATGTTCAGATTCCTTTTATGGACCTAGGATATTAGTATTACTACAAAGACTGAGTTTTTCTACATCAAGTTATCAGACATGGTTGGACATGGAAAAACCAAAAAAACTGTGTCAGAAGCATTCAATTCTTTCTACAAGTGTCTGTGATATACCAACAAAACCTTCTTTAAAAAATGTCATATATCATGCTGTCACGAAATAACAAGTGATTTTTAAACTTTTACCTACAGGAAAGTATTCCGTGATAATGATTTTGTTAAATACAATGTTGACAGGTTTTATAATGCTTGACCTGCAAAATGTTTTGTATATATCATTGCAATTATTTATGTAAAATACAATTCCATATTCATACTTAATTATTCTTCTCTTTTGTTCTTAAACATAAGTAGATGCATTCAAAGATATTTGCTTTAACCTGTTCACCCCATTTGCATGAACCAAATCAAGACTGGGCAAGTCCATTTTAAATATGTAGGGGTGAACGTGTTGTTTTTTGTACAGTTACCTCCCCTTAATCTTATTTTGGATATAACTGTACACAGTTGGGCCAGGACACTTCTAGATCTGTTGACCAGGTTACTCATTCAGTTAGAGCGAAAGTATAACAATCTCAGGTCCAGGGTTCAAGTCCCAGTCTATAGCCCTGCTGATTTTTTCCCTCAGAACACTACTGTTGATTATTTTTGTATATCATATTATTTTTTTGATTATTTTTTTGTAAAAAGTCCCGCAAGGTATGGTTTTCTTTTCAGAAATGATTTATCAAATTATAGTCATACTCCGAAAAACCAATTTCTATTTAAAGCTTCAGTTTTTGGCAGTGGTGCAGGTCCTTGTGTCATTGTGGTATTTTATGTTAAAAACACACTTAACTTGCTTCCCTGTTTCACAGTCAGAAATAACAAAACAATATTTCAGTTTTCATATTTTACAAAGTTTTAATACAAATAAACTCTACAGCACAGGAAACAAATAATACATTTGATGTATCAACAAGACATTTTATTGCAGAATGAGCGACAATATCACGATGTTTGATCCGATGACCAAATTAATAATTTAAATGTATAACGTATATCTATTTCAGAAATACTAAGGATATTGAAATTGTTAAGATATTTCCAATATATCTATACACATTGACTTTGTTTTGATGTAGTTTTCAATAAAAATATACTATAAATATTTTAGTCTAACAATATTATTTTGATGTAGTTTTCAATAATATGAATATATCATTTTTAATTTAACATAAAAATATGGAAAAATGTGTCAGATACAGCATAGGTCAGGAAGGCTATCATGAACTATAGGTCGGGTTTTTTAATTTTACAACACAGTGAAATTTCTCCGCATTAAATTAAAAACAAAAAAAATATTGCAATTGATTATAGGACTACCACGGTAGTATTGACCAATGACTAGCAATAGAAAACCACTTTTGTCTGAACATTAACTCTAGAGCCAAAATGCACATAAATAACTTATCATAAGTGCTCTCAATATCATGAATCATTCACCATGACTTGGAAGTTCTAAAAAGCACATTACATGTGCATTTGTCAATGCACAGAAAACCATTGAATCATTTTATAAATATGTACAAAACTTATAACAAGGAAAAATAAATTATCTAATGTTTAAATTAATTACATTATAATAAAATGTTTCAGTTTTACTTCTTGATGGAATTTCAGTGATCTAGGTTGAATTTGAAAATCATGTGTCTTCAAAAAGTCTTTTCATTTTAAATCACAGCATGATTGACTAGCATGATGCATAAGGGTCAAATTTGAATCAATATTTTAAACATAAAACGAATGTCTGAACTGCTTCACAATTATCAACATGATGAAACATATAAATACAATATACATACATGCATCTTTGAATAGCTATTCAAAACGTGATTCAAATGAAAAACGTGATTCAAATGAAAAAAATGGTTAAAGTGTAAATTATGTAAAGAGATTTATCATACAACCATATCTTTTCAGTAAGCAATTCTATATTCGTCAGTGTTGACAATACACAGGAAAGCTGTAAACTATTTTGTTTTTATCTGGAATGTTTGTTTTGAAGAACTTGAACCTTCATGGATGTAAATATCCATTTGTATGAAGAGACACAGAAGCACAGTCTAAGGGAGATAATCCACTTCCAAAAGTTAGGCACCAACTTAACAAAGCACAATGAATCTAACAATATAATGTTTAGTCATACAAATATGGTAACCATGGTAACACTATCTGGAGTTCATGGAAATTATCACTTTAATGAAGTCTTTGGTAACCATAGCGATGATCACCACGGTCTCCACACGGAGGAACTGGAGCTGTCACTGATCGTGGACGCGCTGTCGTGAGAGGCTACCCTGGAAATCTCGGACATTCCGGCGGAACTCACATCAGGACTAACGGAACTCACATCAGGACTGGAGTGACACCATTCTGAATATCCTCGGAACCATTCCATGTTGGACATGTTGAATCCATTCGGAGTGCACAGAGGGAGGGACGATGAAGTGTCCATCAAAGACTGGTCAAGTGAAGGACTGGACATAGCTGCTCCGGCCATTGGGTCAGGTGACCATTGCTGAACTTGGACAGGCCTGTGAAGGTCACTGGCATACATGGAATGACTGGGTGTGGTGTGGCCGGATACAACAGGACAGGTGTAGTTGTTGGCGAGACCGGCAGGGGACTGGTCGACACTGTAGGCCTGGGTCTGATGAGACGTCCCTGTCTGCTGTCCGGACAGATGACAGAACAATCTCATCTTGACGTCGTTGCTAACAGAAACATCCTGGTTGAGAAGTCGGAACACCTCTTCCTGACACCGAATAAATCCTGAAGTGTAATCTGTTGTCTTGGAATGCACTACAACACAGAAAAAAACACAGGTTACAAATTGACTTTAATTAAACATAGAAATACTTGAGACCAAATCCAAATTTTTTGGCTTCATATAGCCTATTAGGTCTTTATATTTTCAAAAAGAGGGAAATTAAGATGAATAAAATTAATCAAACAACTTTTGAAAAGAATCTATACAGGAATTGAAATATTTGACTTTGTTGGGCCCTGTTGACTTTGAATGACCACCTTATTCACTCATAAAACTTTTCTAGTCTTATAACATGACCCTACCGATTGTGTTGACAATCTTTGACATTGTTGACCCCTGTGACCTTTTTGATGACCTCTGTTATGTCCTATGAACTATGAAGACTTGTGTTAACCCTATAACCTTTGTTGACCCTATAACCTTTGCTGACCCTATATCCTTTGTTGACTCTATAACTTTTGCTGACCCTATAACCTTTGTTGACCCTATAACCTTTGCTGACCCTATAACCTCTTTTAACCCTACCTGAGCTGGTGCCATTCTGTAGGTACTGTACTGTCATCTCCAGGATGTCCGCCTTCTCAAGCCGACAGTGCTCATTCTCCTACAAATCAAAGACAAACATGTTACCAACAGTCAAAATATCAAAAACAGGCATGACATGAAGTTGTTATAAAAAGTGGCCAACAGTCTTTACCTCAATTTTGTGTTAACATCTGTTTTGTTTAAATCTTTTTGGTAGGACACATCTATGAAATAAAATCATACCTATGGTAAGGATGGCTAACTTAAACAAAATAACACTTTTAATGTTGTGATATTTATAAAGATTAATACATTGTGTTACAGTTATCTCCCTTTAGAAATCATCCGATAACTCGGAATGACTGTGTTTCAACATTCTTGTTGAGCTAACAAGTTTGTCACCTTTTTCAAATAAATGGAAGATATTTACATGTTTTCAAAGTGTGGAAATCTTTTCAAAGGTATATATTTTTTACAGGAAGGTACCACATAGCCTTAAATGATAATCAAGGGTGTATGACACTTTAATCACACAACTAGGGGTATGATTTGTAATGTCTTTGCACAATATTTTGGAAAAAAATAATAAAGCTTAAACAAACAATGCATGCAATTATATATCTCAACAATAATCTATAAAATTAAACAATACATTATTCAAACCTGGCCAAAACCTGGTGTAGGTATCATATTACAACAATGGGATTTCAAAACTAACATTTTATATCCTATTTAATATCAAACCCTGATCTATGAAATTTGAGTTACATGATACAAGTATTTGTCCAGTCTTGTGGAAGGAGCCGTGCTCGGTCCCCTTGATTTATTATGAATATTTAAATGACATTCAATTATATACAAAACACTCAATTACTTAAATGTATGCACGCAGTTCAGCAATATATCTTAACGTTGTTTGTCATGAATATTTTAATCGAAACTGCAAACAATTTGCTTTCAAATCGGAACCAAAACAACTTGTATGTTCATTGATATACCCTGTAACGAACGGCTTTTTATTTGTCAACTTCTCGGTTAGTTGCAGGGCCCTGATGCGTTCTTTGTGTAATTACAAGTATTAAAATTGTTTTATTAACTAAATCTCATCTGGTATCCTTTAATAGTGTGATTAATATTTCCTGTATGACACGATACAAAATAGAAATTGTCACAGCGGGAATTCACATGAATTGGCTACAACGTATCAAATTAATTTCACATCGTAATTGATACCGTTATCGGCTTTATAACAAATTGGTAGGCCTGAAGCTGTGTGCAAATTTGTCTTGTAAACAGTGATTTTGACAGATCGACAAAATACAAGTATCGCGTCTAAAGAATAGTTGTAATTGCAAAATTCCCGCGCGTTCTGTTTTCAGTCCCGAGGTTGACATTCACACCTAGCAGCCCGGCTGCAAGGTATTACAGGTAAGTGGGCTACCAATTAGGTGTGGTAATTAGCTTGTCTGTCTACCTGGACAGGTAAGTTACGGATTGTAAGGGGACTCTGGTGTCGCCACGTGTCATACAAATTGGATTAAAGCGCTCGTAACGGGGATTATTGATGAAAACAGCGTTGTAAATTATCATGTCATAACCACAGGGTCTGAGAATTTGTTACAATAATAATACTCAGTGCACAAAAGAAACAAAATCTCAGGTCCCTGTGGTCAAAACTGAATCTGCGATTACATTATCAATTTATTTGACAGATGGGACGGAAACCACCATTTTTTGTTACAAACCTTATAGATCCACGTGTGTTTAAATGTGTCGTTTTGTAAGAATGATTATATTAATTGGTAGCTATTTAAAAATAATAAATCAATTTACACAAAATATTTTTTTTTATATAAAATGACGAAGTTTAAAAAGTGAAAAAGGATAACGAAGTTTAAAAAGTGTAACAGAATAGCGAAGTATAATTTAAAACTGTTAAAAAATGTCGAAGCAGAGAAGATCTCAGCAGTTTTCGTAAATAACTAAATGAAACAGTGATGTTTGGAATAGTGCCCTATTATTTCTATGTGTGATATTCCAAAGGATAGAAGATAAAGGAGTTAACTGAATAAAAAAAATACGCACACCGGTCTGCATTACCAGAAGACATCGTGGTTTATTTATATTAAAATGTTATAATTGCAAGTAACAATGGCCTTTACACGCGTATTGTACTGACAAAAAACACTACAGGTTCACTACAGTGTTGACAAATTACATTTAGTATTTGTCTTTTCATATCATTTCAATATTTAGTGAAAATATATTTCATTTGTGATCTAATTTTTTAAATCCGTTGGATATATATATTTAAATAATTTCTTATCAGTGAAAGTGTATTTAAAACAACGTTCTCGGTTTTGCGAACATACATCACGCTATATCGTGATTGGAAAATGCATAGTATGTACAAGAGGAGAGAATGAGAGGGACTGAGAGGTCGAGGCGGCGGGATGAGACAGATGTATTTCATTTTAATTTTAAGATTGTCCAAACTCGTTATTATTTGATAAAAGAAATAAGACTGTTATTAATTTGAAAACATTTGTCAAATTGCGATTTTATTTTTATTTTATATATATTGGACAGACTATGGCATTCGAAAAACATAAATGGTTTAAACCAATAAGGTTGGTAAAGCAGCCATTTTTTTCTGCACTTATTGTTTGAATGGAAAAGTTCCAATGTAAAAATTAATTCAATTACGCAAAAAAAAAGTATTTTATTCTCCTTTTGAATGATCGTCCTAATGTTTTTTATTTTGAAAACTGCTCCCTTTCGTTTTCAACGAAATATTCTTGTTTTAAACAATTGTACGAATTGTAAAGGTTTCCATCCTAATGCTGTGAGTTTTGTGAGTATATTACCGCGAGACTATTTCTGCTTAGATATTTTGGGTGGTTTGATGAACATATATACATCAAAATTTATAACAATCTTAAAGTGTTCTACAGCTTACCTGTCGGTCAGTTTTCTGAAGGATGAGGGACTTGAGTTGGCTCAGGAAGTTGTTAATTTTCTCACGACGTTTTCTCTCCGTCAATGGTTTGTTGGACTAAAATTGAAAAGAGGATTAAAATCAGTTTAATGGCTTTTTAGACTGTCCAAGAAAACAGTTGATATGTAGATATAAGTAAATTATTGCTATATAATTCAAAAATATTTGCGAACTTGATGAATTACAAAGAGTGAAAAATACGGGAAACGAGGTTCTCCATGAAACCAATTTCGAAGTATGGTGCGTAGTTTTAATTTTATAATAATGACATTACAAATAAACTGAATGGCACTAAGAAACATAACGTTTAAGTCAAAAATAATAACGGACAAAAAGATAAATAAAATGTTAAATGGAATTAAATTTAATTCTTATGTATCAGATTTGATTCTTGTGTATATGATTTTTCGTTTAAGGATCTGTAGGATAATCAAAATTAGAAGATACTTCGTTTTTCTTTTGAATGTTCATATATTTAAAATTAATAAACTTATGTGTCGAAGTTATTTAATTTGAAAATGAAGTTTTAGAAATTACCTGTCGCTTTCTAGCTACCATAGGGGTGGACACTCTCTCGATCTCAGGATGCATGGTGTATCTTAGTTTGTGTGTGGGAAGCGTAGATATCTAACAGATAGTCAAAACCGAAGTATGTGTTTTACCGAGGACACGGTCGAATATATGGGTGGATGTCACGTGACGGGTAGTGATACTCGCCCCACCACCCACGGGCCAGACAATTAGATCACCTACTATGCAGCACGTGGCGATGGGCAGGTAGCTACCGTTAATTATTATGTAAACGTCACACGGATGTCGCACCTGTATCGAATCCTAACTACAGGGCAGGTGGACAGCTTACCTGGGGCGCGTGTCTGTGACACGATACAGGTATTGTACACAAATTGCAATAAAAGCTCACCTGGATACCTGCAAAGGTAGACAGGTAAGACCTACATTTACTCAATCATCACAAACATCTACCTGGGGAATCACCATTGTAGCAGTCTGATTGATGGGGTGTGTACTACTTCGAGTATCGTTTATTCGGAGATTAGTGCTGTCCCAACATATAACATTACCCGTGGCACGTGTTTAGACAATGATTATGTCACGGACGTGTGTAATTTTTGATATAGTATACACACTGCACCCTCCCCTACACAATCCATACCAGTTTTAAAGACGTTTAGAAGGGATTTATATATATATTTTTAGATCTATCGAATAATGTTAACCGAGGTTCATAAGATAGTTTAAAAGGTCATCTTATTTATCTGTAATACTGAATTGATACCTTACCAGAAACCGTGAGAAATATGCACGATACAACAATATTTACCTGATTAAGAAGACGTCAGCCGTAATTAATAACTCATTGTTGTCGAAGTTAACGTCGCTATAGCGATATCTTTTTAAAAACTAAGAACAAGTTCAATATATATTTACATAGCATAAAATTAAATTTGAAATCCGATGCTTAATTGAGGTATTTAATGTGACAAATCAAAGGATTGAAATATTGGGTGACTAAATGTAAACAGCTTTTAGGGTCCACGGTCTTGTTGAACCTAAATCATCTATTTAATGTGACAAATCAAAGGGTTGAAATATTGGGTGACTAAATGTTAACATCTTTTAGGGTCCACGGTCTTGTTGAACCTAAATCATCTATTTATTGTGACAAATCAAAGGGTTGAAATATTGGGTGACTAAATGTAAACATCTTTGAGGGTCCACGGTCTTCTTGAACCTAAATCATCTTATTAATGTGACAAATCAAAGGATTGAAATATTGGGTGACTAAATGTAAACATCGTTTAGGGTCCACGGTCTTGTTGAACCTAAATCATCAAGTGTTACACAACAAAACTGAAAACCTATCCCCCAATATGATCCTGTTCTCTACTAAATTCAGTACCTTTCTCTTGACAATTTGCCTACGCGCTGTTACATACCTATTTCATGTCTAATTTAAAAAAAAAAAAAATTATTTCGGGGATTATGTGTTATATGTACCTAAAAAGTGATGCTGACCTCAACATTTGTTTCGGTTAATATCGCTTTCTCAGGTTCATAAAACCACGTATTCACCTCAACAAAAGTCATCCTTGTAAATCACAAACAACCCAATTAAATTGAGTTCGTTTGAAAATATTCCTCACCCGTAACTACTAGCACACAAGTTATATTTCAACATTTCTTTCTCTATGTTTCTAGTCAAAATGTAAATTTAAAAATATTAAGGTATGTAAAATATCTTTATTCCCCCCNCCCCCCCCCCCCCCCCCCCTGAAAGTCCGATGATTTTTTGTTTTTTGTTGAAAATCTCGACTTTATCAGTTAACTATATATGAAATGAGTTTGGACGTTTCAATAATATATCATTAGAAATCGACAATTTTGTTTAAACAATATTTTATCCAGTAATTACAACAAGTCATACCTGATTAAATAACTTCAGAATCTTACTAAATTACAATGGATCAAATAAATGCAGATCAGGGTAGAAAGGCTTTGTTTTCAGTTATGAATGTATGTAGAAAACCCAATGATCAATCTTTGATACATACATGTAAATGGCATTATAATTTACTGCTCTGAAATAAAGGGTTTCCATAAAGCCCCAAATATTGAAAAAACACCACTTTGTTTGTAAACGACTGCTGGGTCCTAAAATACTTGTAAAATTATGGTTAACGTAGTACTTGCCTTTGATAAGAAATTAAGAATGGCTAAATATTGGATTAAATGATAGAGAACTAATAATTGTATTTAAAGATAAATTTGAGAATAAGAATGAATGTGCGTTAAACATAAAAACATGATTTATAAAGAATTGGCATAAGAAACAGAAACAAGTGAATATATAGACAAGATTGATATATATATATAGACAAGAATGCAAAGAAAACGTAAGAACATCTTCAAAGGGATATTTCTATACAAATCTTCATAACCAGTCTGATTTATTATGTTATTTAAGAAAGATATTAACAAGAAAATATTTGAAGGAAATCACAAAAATTCGGTTTCAAATTTCAAGATTTTATTTTCGAATGCAATGCAGCATACAGGTTAATTAATACAAGAAACAAATTACAATGTTCAAGATGTAAGAGGACAATACAGTATTCATGCTTCAGCAATATCACTACACGAGTATTTACCAAATCGACTTAAGGTTTTAACATTTTTACATGACAACAATTCGATTAACTTGTACACACTGAGATGTCGGTAGTAAGATTGCTTAATGTACATTATGTATGTTTCTTAGTCCAGAATAAACCATCCTCGATACTCCAGGGGTTACGCTCATTTTCGCTTGCAGAGAGCAAAAGTGAGTGTAACCCCTGGAGTATCAGTAGGACAAATAAGAATAAAATGTATCTGATCTTCAATATAATTTTTGTCGCAAGCTGAATATATTCGACCTCTCGGAACCACATTATAACGTCCAGATTCGATATTAAGGGAATGCGCCTGCATGCGATATTGACTCAACATTATTTTGTGTAGAGAAGTTAGAGGCTCAACATTATTTTGGTTGGAGAAGTTAAAGGCTCAACATAATTTTGGTTAGAGAAGTTAGAGGCTCAACATTATTTTGGTTAGAGAAGTTAAAGGATCAACATTATTTTGGTTAGAGAAGTTAAAGACTCAACATTATTTTGGTTAGAGAAGTTAGAGGCTCAACATTATTTTGGTTAGAGAAGTTAAAGGATCAACATTAATTTGGTTAGAGAAGTTAAAGGATCAACATTAATTTGGTTAGAGAAGTTAAAGGATCAACATTAATTTGGTTAGAGAAGTTAAAGGATCAACATTATTTTGGTTAGATAAGTTAAAGGATCAACATTATTTTGGTTAGATAAGTTAAAGGATCAACATTAATTTGGTTAGAGAAGTTAAAGGCTCAACATAATTTTGGTTAGAGAAGTTAAAGGATCAACATTAATTTGGTTAGAGAAGTTAAAGGATCAACATTAATTTGGTTAGAGAAGTTAAAGGATCAACATTAATTTGGTTAGAGAAGTTAAAGGATCAACATTAATTTGGTTAGAGAAGTTAAAGGCTCAACATTATTTTGGTTAGAGAAGTTAAAGGCTCACCATTATTTTGTTTAGAGAAGTTAAAGGCTTTACTAGATGAAGTTGAATATGACAAGTTTTGACAAGGTCTAGTGTCTATAAACATAACATTTAGAAGACGTTTCTTGAATAAAGATGTCATGCGGACGTCGAGTATACATTTCCACAAACTGTTTCTCATTCTGAACAAACCCGTTCTATATAAACCATGTATAACATGATAAACCCAGTTCAGTTTACAATTTGGCTTTTTGACATTAAGCTCAAGTAGTGCATCATAACATGATTTTAGTTCACAATTACTTGCATTCAAAATTTTATAATAGCTATTTTGCGCTGTATATATAAAGAATACCTCCTATTTCAAAGTATAATCTTTCATTCTTCTTTTCAAAAAGCAAAAACCTGTCCTACTTTGAAATGTCAATGTATTTTGTGCTGCGGTAAATTTTCCGTTATAGAAAAAACTACTCCTAGATAATAAAATGTGTCCACTATCTCAACTGACTTGTCAGTTAATACCAAGCTTTCATGTACCGTTTTAAAAGCAACAATCGATTCCATTTTTTCGGTGCAACATTGCAGACAATCAAGCATTTACTGAAGATTGTTTACATTTTCCGAAAATAAAACTGCGTCATCGACATACATGATTAATTAATTGTAATTCAAAGCCGTGAAATTGGAGTTTATACACACACTCTCCATAATATTAACAGTAATGACAAAGCATGCGTGATAACGATTCCCCTTTTAGTAATCCGACAGGTAGATCAAACTTTACGTTAACGTGTGTATGAATGTGAGTATGATGAATGACGAATGATTGCTGCTGCTGTTGCTGATATGATGATGAGGATGAGGAAGATGAGGATGATGATGAGGATGATGATGAGGATGATGCTGTATGCGAGTCAGTGTGAGTGTGTCCTTGTGAATGTCTTTGTCTTATATGTAATTGCCATAAGTTGTAAAACTTCAGCAAATAAAGAGCTTTACGTTAGAGCGTACATTATCATAAATGGATCTAACTACATTACCAGAGTTTATACCAAAGCTTATCGCGTGTTACACTATCTAAAGCCTTGCTATAATCTATAAATACACAATGAAGCCTTTTGTCTTGTTCTGTTGTATTAGTAATTTAATTATTTAATGTAAAAATTGCATCCCGAGTACCAAGCTCAGGTTTAAAACATAATTGCACATCAGTAACAATATCCTCCCTTGTACTAAATTTTAATAATCTTTTATCGAACAAGAAATTAAATAATTTAGCTAGATCAGAGACGTATATGTAATATATACGTCTCTGGCTAGATGACTAATTAATAATGTTATTTCCGTGTAATTATTAACATTGCTCTTATCCCCTTTTTATGTAGAGGTATAGTAACACCCTGCGCCCAGGACTCTGGAGAATATCCTACCTGTAATATAGAATTAAACAATCTGATCAAAACAGGTGAAACAAATATCCTTATTTTCGATTATGTATTCGTTAAGTAACATATTTTTTTTATGAACTCCTGCCCACTTGT